AAGAAGACGACTAGCTTCTGGGGGCCGGGGCCGTATTTCCTTGTAGCCCACGGCTAGCTTCAGTTACAGTTGGGCAATCTTCGGCAATCCTACAACCGAATTTGGCACAGACGACGGCCACATCACTTGCAACAAGAGGACCTATTGGCAATTCGCAGCCGTGATGGTCACTGCATCATCACGATCATCGACCTGATATGGTTAGCAGTCTTCACAGGTCCTTGTCGAATCTGTCCTTTTCGAAAAGACCGGTTATGTGGCATCTCATGTCAAAGAAATCCCAACGACGAAGACAATTGCATTGCCCGGACCAGTCACTGCGATTGTAATCAGCTTTGTTCGTCGAAAGCTCATCGAAACAACAACACGCTAACAACCAAATCGCGACAGTCATACGTCAATAAAGGAGTGGAGCCCAGACGGATCCAGACGGTAGGATGTTCATTCTACACGACTCTGATCCCAAGTCTAAACCCCCGGTCGCAACTCCTTCCCCAGCTCTGTCCTCCACACAGGCCATGGGCCCCGAGTCGTCCCGTGCATGCTTGGGTTTGGCTTCGGGGTTCAAGGGTCTGAAGGTTTTGGCTTAAAGGTTTGAAGGGTTTGGGAGTCTAGGGCTGAACTGTATCCTTTATCGGTTCAGGGGTTCAAGCTTGAAAGGCGCCGGGAAGCCAAAAGAGGCCCGTAAAGAGAACCACGTCGACGCAGCAGGAGCAACGATGGAAAGGAACGAAGAACAGGGATGGGTTGGCTTCATCAGGTTCCCGCGGCACCTCTCGCTTCACTTTCCGGGGCTCGTAGCGCCAGTCCACGAAGCATCGAAAAGTGCAGGTATTGATTTCAATAGGGCTGCCTTTATGACTAGTTAAACCATGCAACACCTTAATCCCCAAACCCTACTGAACCCTTGAAAAACTGCTTAAAGCTTGCAGGGGTCGAGTCTGCCAGGTCGCCAGACGAGGACAGCATGCAGACGCCATCAGAGCCGGCCGCCAAGCAAGTTGTTGAGTCTTGTGCCATGGAGAGGATGGTGTAGAGGAGTCCTTCTGACGCTACATGTCAACGGTCATGGAACCTTCGGCTATTCTGGGAGTCTCTGCAGGAAACTTGTGGTTGGCTGAAGTAGTGAACTGGTGGATAAAGCGCTATGCCCACCATACGAAAATGACAGAGTTTGTTCTGCGTTGTATTTAAGCGCTAGCTACGCGGATGGAAAGGGACGCCGCACTTACAAGCTGGGACTGTAGCCAACTCCGGTAGAGTTCGGCCCAATGTAGGCGCGCTCGGCTTCAGCAAGGTCAGTGGAACTGCCTTCGGGGCTTGTTGCTGTCATCGTCACACAGCAGACCTTGTAATGAGAAAGACTCACCACTGGCTTTTTCCTCTTCAAAATCCTCAAAGCATACACATGTGCTCCTGTGATGGATTCTTCCGTAAAGCCATCTGCGCTCAAGAACTTCATCTCTAAGCCATGTTTAGCATGGTCGATCCTCCGCAAAATCCAAAAGCAAGAAACTCAATCCTAGAGCCCGCCTTAAAGCTCCGAGGCTTCTGGTGGAGTTTGCAGTGCTACTGCCGACGCTGCGTCGGCTGCGGCTGCTTCTGCGGCGAGTGGAGGCCTGCTGGCTTCTGCAGTATGGTTGTGGTTCTGCTTTCGAGCCTTAGGATTTGGAGGCCCTTGGGGGCTCTGAGCGTTGGTTTTCGATTTCTTACCGAGCTCTCTATACCAGCTGGGGGACATCTACTTTTGTTGCTTCTTGCCCTGGATTCTGGGAAAGCACTTGGGGCCTAAAGCTTGCTGTGCAAACTCTAGGATAGCGACAACAGTTGTAGTTCTGATGGATTGAAGAATTACCTTGGTCGAACTATGCGTTTTGCAAGGGAGCTTTACGCTTCGTTATTCAAGGAACTGAGCCCAAGACCCAGTTCCTGTTGTTATGGTGGTGTGTGTGTGTGTGTGTTCTGGAAAGAGTTTAATTGGAGAAGTCGTCGTCGTAGCAGCGGTATTCGTATGCACCTCCAAAGTCAGGAGCTGCCGGCAAATTTCCTAACAGATTGCACGAATCAACATGCCTGAATCGACATGTTTCGAACTGCTGCTGTCAGGCGGTTGCCGAGAATCTTCTGAGGCAAAGTCTCGCGGGGTGCTTCCGTTTATGTTTAGGGTTTGGGGCAGGGTTTTGAGTTTTGGGAGTTTACGGTTTAATCTACATGGCTGTATGAACAGTCCAGGTCATAAGTTGTGCACAGGTCCATAAAACTGGTGGTAAGGGCGGTGGCGGTGGCAGTGGTGGCAATGGCACTAGCACGAGCAACCCAAAACCCTAAACCCCGAACCCTGAACCCTAAACAACAAACCCTAAACAACAAACCCTGAACCCCAACCCTCTCAACGCTAAACCCTGAAGCCTAAAAGCCTAAAAGCCTAAAGCCTAAAGCCTAAAACCCTAAAGCCTAAAACCCTAAAGCCTAAAGCCACAGTAGTCGCAGTCGTCACCCCGACGGAGGCAGCTTTCCGGGCTGCACGCCGCGACAGCGCAGGCGAACCCCGGGTGCCAGAGATTTTCAAAAACAGGGGACTTCGGGCCTAGGATTTTAGCTTTAGGGTTACTATAATAAGGAATTTTGGGAACGTAGGGCTCAGGATTTAGGGTTTAGGGGTAACTAGGGATTGTGTTGTCTTGTTTAGGGTTTGAAGGTGTTGTTCTGGCGCGATAGACGTTCAGGGTTGAGGCGGTTGAGAGTTTTGGATTTAGGAGTTGGTGGGGGTGTGGGGTATAGACGGGATCATCGTTTGTTAGTCGGGGTTCTCAGTCTCAGCTTGTGACGTGATTTGGGCTACAGGCTCAGGGGTCCGGGCTTAGAGCCTGGGCCTAGGTCAAGGCTAAAGGTTCGGACCATATCTGGGCATCCAAATCACAGATATGAATCAAGACCGGAAATGCGAACGGTGTGGTTGCAAGTCAGTGCGACTGGTTTGCAGCGTCATTGTCATCAAGGCTGCTCCTCATCTTATAGTGGAACGGTCACGAAAACGGAATAGCTTACAAGACCGCCTGTCAAGACTCGTACCAGGCGACTTATGGTGATCCTGATTGACTCAATGCCTCTCGCCGCGCTTTCTGCCTTTGAGGCCTCAGCGGCCCTCCATGGTCTCACTCGCCAGCCGCTACGTCCGGTGCTTGACGTGTCCGCAGCTCAGATTGGGGTCTTGCAGTGCTGTAACAATTCATGATGCCCTGATTGTTCTGGGAACTAAGCGACACGAATGAAGAAGAAATGTAGAGGTCCGAATACAGAGTACTATAATTAATTTCAAATTCTGTTGAAATTCTCAACGCCGGCATAGTTGGAACCCTTACAAGCCTCGGGTCATGCAGCCCTCAAAAACAAGCTCCTTTAAAGGAGCCCTCTTTTGCCTACAAAGGCTCCTGTGTTTTACGGACTCCTGGGCCTGCGAGGCTCGGCGAGCTGCTAGCTATCCCCATCTGCGTCGATGGCGTGGTCCTCGAGGCCGGATGGGCATTTTCGGGGTTTGGGGTTTAGTAGGGTTTAGGTGGTTTAGGGTTGAGGGTGCTCAAAAAGGGTTTAGGTGGTTTTCCTGTGCAGTGGCTGGAAATCTATGTTGAGATGGCGTCACCTCAAACGTTGGCATGCTTTTGCATCGAGACCTTCGTGTCTTCGCCGGCTTCGGCCTTTCTTCGAGGGGTCGAGGCTCCAGTGACGCTATGAAGCTTTCGCCTTTGGTGTGTTCCCATCAGGGTATAGCCGTAAAGTGTTGCGCCCAGCCATGCGAAGTGGAGCCCTCTTTGTAGGGTTTACAGGTTGCTTAATTATGGGTGGGAAGGTCCCGAGCTGGCTGGGAGATGGGAATTTGGGTTTGATTTGGGTTTGGGTTTTGAAGCTTTAGAGTTATAGGCTGCAGGATTATAGGGTTATGCGGCTGTCCTCTTTGAAACGTAGCTCCGGGACCCGGCCGTGTCCTTACCTGGTGATCGCGTACCAAAATTAAGCATTATTCCTAGGAGTTCCAATTTAAAATGTAATTATGCTACAGCAATGCCCCAGCCCTGCTAAGGTATATAGCTTTTCACTTCCTTTACTTGCATTCGGCAGTGAATGGAGATTTGCAGTCTTGCTTGCAAGGACATTGACATGCATCCCCCTGTGAACGCCCTGTCGTCCGAGCCCAATGTCTGGTATCTGATCTCTTCCAGCAACCTTGTATATGTTTGAAGCCCGTACATCCCTGGAACCAAGTCATGAAGTCTCAATGCCAAGTGCCGCGGCTCTGACTTCCAAAGCCCGGAACAGTCAACCCTGTTTGCCGCGGGTTCGGGGGCGTTTTGTTGCACAGGAGAACCTCCAAATCGGGAGATTCATTCAGTGTGCCGCAGGACACCCGCCTGCGCCGTGCCTTCTCGCCTCGTGGCAGCTTCATAAGGGCTGGGGTTCGAAATCCGTCAGAGGCCCTCCAACCTGAAGGAGTTGGCTTTCTGTCTACTTACTGATACTGGTACTGCTTTACGTCGGAAACAGTCATGCCTTCAAACGGGCAGAGAGAACTATAGTAGTGATGGTGCCGTGATAGGAATCAGCAGTAGCTGCACTCGTTGGAGCTTCTTAAGCGAAGGAACGCGATAGCTAGGAGGGAAACCTACGGCTACTGTAGCAAGTCAAAAGGTTAAGGCCTCATCAAGAGAACGAACAGAAATGGCAGCAATACTCATTCACACGCACTTATATCTAGGTCGGATGTGAAAGAGTTTCTACTAACGACGGCAACACTGGATGCTGGCAGTAGTTGCTGATACAACGGAGTAATAGTGTTAGCGGCAACAGAGGCAGCAGCGGCGGCGGCGGCACCAGCAACAGTGGAGTTACTGTATTGATTACACAACCAACCGGGGGTAAAATGGCCGTCATGATGTGACAACCACTTGAATTCAAGTCGTCGTCGTAGTGGTAAACCACGCCATGGATCCGAAGCCCGCGGAGACATGCCCAGCCATGCCACGCTGCCGAAGCTCAATATAAAGATCCGAAGCATCCTGTCTGGGGATGTGCTCGCAGATTTGCAGGTCGCAGCCGCAGAGAGTCTGCAAGCGGCTGCAGAGTCGAGGTTGCCCGAGTTGGTTCCTTTCCAGCTGGTCCATGGCGCTGTGAGTTGCGCGCAGTCCACTGCGCTGGAAATAGGTTTGGAAGACGGGGCTGTGCTGGACTTGGTTCGAGTGCGTAAGACACGCTCTCTAGTCTCTCACAACACCAACTTCTGGTTGGGTGGCTCGGGCTTCCACTGCCATGACAGCTACCTGGACAGAGTCGCATCGGAGGATGCGCAGGCATTCTACATCTCCTACGTCCGCGTCAATCTAAAAGACTCCGTAGACAGTCGTGGCCAAAGCCACGGCAGGGACTGCCGAGACACAGTCTTCCTCGATGCCGTGGCGCAGCAGCGAGCTGCTGTACGTGGGGGGCCTCTACCTCACGTGTTCTACTGCTCGAAGGGTCCCATTGGACGCCGCTGCCGACTCTGCTGGATCGCGCGAGACGGAACGATGTACGGGTGCACGACATCATCAGACGAGCACCAGCTGTGGTCAACGGCGGATGGTTCCAACTTTGAGAAGGTCGGTGCCGCATCACCTTTCAAAATCCTTGACTGCTTGTTCTTGGGCGACTCCTTGTTCGTTTTCGGTGAGAGCAAAGATGCCTGGCGCCTCCTCGAATTTCGGCGGGACCTCGAGGGTCAGCTCGCCGAGAGGAGGGTACATACAGAACCCTGCAGTGACCTAAGGAGACCGCAACATAGCAGGGTGAGGCCGAAGATTCTGGGCTTGGACGAGACAGGTCACGCCTTGTGGCTGTGCCACGACGGCCTTTTGGTGGTGCCGCTGGAAACATTCATGCCGCGCCTCTGCTTCACCTGGAATGACTTCCGGCAAGCATGTCCTCAGGAGGAGGAGGAGGTGGAATTTCACGAAGTTCTAATGGACCACAGAACACGGGAACTCTACGTCTTCTTTGACCTCAGCAAGATAGCGAATCGGGAGGACGAGGCAGCAGCATCCTGCCGCGTTTTATGCTTGACGCCACAGAGCCGAGTAGGTGAGCCTGCGTGGCAGGTGGACTATCCAGACCTGGCTGGCGAAGTTGTCTGCAGCGCGCCTCTTGCCATCGACGGTTTTTCCGATGCTTTCTGCATCCTGGCAACGCACCACACCGAACGCTGCCTTTGGGCTCTTGACGCCGACGGCGAGATGTGGAAGATGGAACTATGAGGCATCGTGTTGCTCTTCAGCTGCACACCAAGGCTGCGAAAGTCGTGGAGCAAAGTCCTGCGGGCGTGTGGTCAAAAACACACACACACACACACACAGACAATCAATCGCACCCACCAACCCACGTAGTAGTAGTAGTAGTCGTCGTCGTCGTCGTCGTCGTCGTCGCCGTAGTAGCAGCAGCACCAGCAGCAGCAGTGAACAGATCCTATGCACAAATGAAATCACCGACAGGAACAGTAACAGAAGCACTGGCAACAGCTAGTGTTTCGTTTAAGAATCGTTGGAGCGAGCATGGCAATGGTTGTGCAAGTGAAGGTCGGGCAAGTTGGAGTTGCGTCATGCATGCACCGAGGTCGTACAACTGGATCGTGTCCAAGGAGTCTCGGAAGAACAACAGCATTGTGAGCCGTGTTTTCTGTTCTGCACTCTAGAGACATTTGGCATGAGGACCGAAGCCCGATCCCCTGAAAGGCTGAAGTTGTCGTCGTCTTCCTATTGCCGTCAATTGTCGTACTCGTGAAAGTAGGAGCAGCGTCGGGCCGCCATCGCCAAGAGGGAGAAGCTGTGTAACAGAATTAACCCCTGCAGAACTGGATCCCTGCATTGGCTTTGATGTCTCTCTCTTGGCATAGGCAAGTCCTGGGGCGGCACCCGGTGCAGCCATGGCCTTGGGCCTGCCCGAGCTTGCGGCAGAGGCGGTTCTGGGGTGTGATGAGACGTCGGTGATAACTTTAGTAGAAGTGAGGAAGGATGATGGACATGACGACGCAGCTACTGCTACGGATGATAGTTCGTAGAATGATGGTGATCAGGATGCCGACAATGACGACGGCGAGCACACTCGTACCCTTGAAGCCTGCACCAACGAGCTCGAATCCCAACCCACAAAGCCTAAACCGCTGCACTGCGAAACCCGCCTGCCTGCTTAGACCATCCCTACCTGCCCTGCCAGCAAAACACTTGAGCTTCCCGGAGGCCCAAAGCAATTGGTGCTGGTAACATGCGACACGAAACGCACGAAGACACCAGAACACCACAACCCTGAACCTCGCGGGACGCGGAGTTGACTCACCTGTCGAACACAGCATCCGAGACTTGGCCTTTGGTTCTGGCTGCTACTTGCACACAGGAGTGGGCCCAAAACCCCTAAGCCTTAACCCCATTTCACACCATTTCAATGCATCATGTCTCCTCGCCTGCGCAGAAAAACACCTAAACCCCCAAACCCTACCCTGAACCTCTAGACTCTAAACCCCAAACCCTAAACCCACCTTAAATCCTAAACCAAACAGACATCCTAACTTCAGACAGCGGCGAGCCTGACCTCGGAGCTCAAGGAGGCCCTCAGGAAGAGAGAGCAGCTATAATGCTTTGGGGCTTTGAGGTTGAAGGTGTTGGGTTTATGGGGCCCAGGGCTTTTAGGTTGTAGGGTTTTCGGGCTTACGGTTTGCGTGTATGCTGAAATTTGCAAGGCTCGGCGTTTCGGGTTTGGTTTCGGGCTGAGGATGTGGGTTCCGGATGGTTTGAGGCTTGAGGCTGAGGGTATCGGCTTTTCCGATTTGGCACATCCCGCAGGTGGAAGATTGGATGCCCGTCGTCATACTACATTTTACACAGAAACTCTAGTGTCATATCCCTCTACTACACTCACGGAGCCGAGGCACTCTCCAATTCACAGGGCTTTCTGTCGCATGCGAGTCGCATTTTCATTGTCAGGTCTTCCAAAGCCACCCAATGCGAAATCCGTCCCAAGCCTGCCACAAAGAACCAAAGTTCGGGGAAGTCAGCACAAAATTCCACAAGCTTTGGACTTGGACTCAGAATGTCGTGATCTTGGACTGATCAGCTGCAAACCCCAATCAGAACTGAACGCAAGCTTTCAGTGTAATCACGGTCTTATGAGTTTTACACAACCCGAATCCTCACAAATTGGAGAAGACAGCCAGAGAACGCAAAACCGTCAGCCCGCATGTTGGTAGTGGTGTATCTTGGTAGTAGTGATTGCCCCGGACCTCAGTGGATCCGTTCGCGGAGCCGGAATGGGAATGGAATGGAAGTAGTGATTGTCGTAGTCCTCGAGGTAGACATAGTTGCAGTAGTAGCCGAGCATGTGCTGCACTGTTGGCCCTTTTGCCCGTGCTGAAGGCAGAGCCTATTCTTCGTGGAGACTGCTTCCAACTCTGCCTGGCCCGCTGGGAAACGGGGAGTTGCAGGATACGATTTGTACGAGCTGTGGAGCAAGAGCTATAGCTTTTTGCCATCTCTGGTTGAAGTTCTTGACTGCCACTTTGTTCGGGTCACTACTGCAAGTCAAGCTGTAGTTATATGATGTTATATGTAGTTGCATCAGTCGTCTTTGGGTGTCTCTTGCCACCCCTTTTCCTAGGGTCTGAAGCGAGAATCGGACTGCCCAGGGCCTACATGACAAGACGGGGAACCAAAAATCGCAGACCCTTATCCTGGCCTCTAATCTCACAATACTTTATGATTATCATTATTTTTATTGTTACTACTATGGTTACTATTGTTAGTATTATTTATCACAATATTCTTATTCTTAGTATCTGAAAGACCAACTTCGGGGCTCGTTGCTGCGGTTGTCTTTGGAGGCAGGCATGCATGGGTTTTGGAGACTGGACGAGCCGAAACCCTAAAACCCTCCATCGTCCCTTCAGAATCCGTGTGATTGAGTCCTCGGCTCCACTCGTGACCACCGTCCTTTCAGTATCCGTGTGATTGAGTCCTCGGCTCCACTCGTGAAACAAGTACCCCTTTGCCCGCGCAGACCAACGTGTGCACTGCACTGGCAGACTTGCGCAATCCGCTGGCCGCCTGGCAGCTAAGCCAAGGCTGAGATAGTAGTTGTTGCTGCTGCTGATGCTGCTGATGATAAAGAGGAAGATGGTGATGAGGATGACGATGGCGACAGTGACGGCGACGAGGATGATGATGATGATGACGACGAGGATGATGATGATGACGAGGAGGGTGATGAATGCCGATGATGATGGACGTTGCTGCTGCAGTTGGGTTTGCTGGTTTTGCTGCTGTTGTTGCGACTGTTGCTGGCGGCCGCGCTGTTGTCGTGTCGTCGTCATCACTATTTGTGTTTTCTTGTGTTGGCTCCTGCTTTTGCTGTAGATGATGCTGATGGTGAGCACGGCGGTGGTTTCGATGATGACCGGTGCGATGACAGTTTCCGTGTTGTTGATTGTTGCGATGCTACGATGATGGTAATTTTAATAGTGTTCGTGGTGGTGATGAGGATGATGCGATGATAACAGTGGTGATGACGCTGATGAGAGTAAGAGTGAGCGCTTGACGAGGTACGGTGAATAGCATTAAGGATGAACCACTTCTCGCTCGAGCTGCTCAAATGGAGCCAGTAATGTCAATTCAATCTTGACGAGCAGAGCCGAACCCAGGTGCTTCTTGCAGCTGCGCTGTTCCTGTTCCGAGGTGTTCAAAGAGCATCTCATGGGCTATTTCCGTGCCCGGCTCGAGGCCAGCATCTGGTACGTACAGCAGAGTGTTTTAGGTTCGCGTTTGGTTTCGAGGAGTGCCCGGCTTGTAGGAGAGGGGGGCGGGGGCGGTGTGGGTAAATTAAGCGCACAGTGGCACATCAACCACGACTGTGGATATCCTCGATGGCGAAAGCCGGAAGCGATGCTTTTGTGGTTCGTGGGTTGTTGCTTCTCGTGGTCAAGTTCGGCTTCGCAGTGTTAACTGCACTGCTAGTTGCACCCGAACATTGGACATGCTTACCAGTTACCAGGAGCTGCGAAAGCCACACAGACATTGACATTTAATTACCTTGAGAAGTGATCGCGACAATGCGTCTGTCGGCAGCATAGTTACAGTTACGTATCAGCATGGGTATCGAACCATGCCCAGCTTTCAGGAGAATGCTCCACGCCCAGAGCTTTAAATCGCTCAGATATTATCGTCATATCAGTACTAGTAGTTCCATTCCTGCCCGAAGCCCCGCTGTGAACTTGAGCTCCGGGGTTTAAGCCCTCAGTGTGGGGAGAGCCGGAAACAGAAAGCCTCCATAGTGCGTTGCTTTGGGGGGCCTTGGGTGGGATACCGATGGTGAACCCCAAATCCCACGTTGCAAGCGCCAGAATCGGCTGATGATGTAGCCGTAGCAGTCGCAGTCGCTGTGGCTGCGGCACCGGCACTAGCACTAGCATCAGCAATAGTAGTCTTTGTCGTCGTCGTAGTGGTGGTGGTAAAAGACTGCTGCTACGACGACGTCGACTACTACTAGTGCGACGGTGAACACCCAACACGTGTTCCTTCGAGAAGGAATCCGATACACGGGGCGCCGTGGCCTTCTCGCAGCTGTGGCTTCCTTCAGAGTCTTTGGTCTACTGGGCGGCTCGGCTGCAACAGCTGTTGAAGCCCGTGATTTCAAGAGATGAAGATGAACTGCCAGGCAAGAGCCACTCGCTAGTTATCGAACTTGGAGACTTTTGAGTGCCTGAGACCATGTGGAACTTGTACTTCAATGTTCTACCAAGATCTCGGCCTTCGTCTTGGTGGCCCGAGCCTTTGGGCCGCAGAAGGAGGACGCCAAGCTGGTGGCTGAGGCCAGAGAATGCCCTGTTGTCGCAGAAGAACACCTCAGACCTAGCACCATTGTCGGCGGTTGTAACTGTCACGAAGGGTCGCAGCCATCCTCTATTTGTGGTAGTGGTTGTACTGGCAGCTGGTGCTGCTCGTTGCATCGTCAAACAAGGCGATGACAGTGACTGGACTACCTTCCTTCTCCGGCTTCTTCTTCCGTTACATTACACCACAACAACCAATGCTACTACTTCTGCTCCCGGCTACTTATCCTCAGACCATTTATGCTCCTGCCACTGCTACTGCTCCTGCTTGCTTACGCTGCTGCGATTGTTGTGGCACTGCTGCGTGCTCCTTCAAGGTTGCGCACACCGCGGTCCCTGCCTCTTCGGGCTCAAACCATTAATCGTGGACCCTAGACCCGCTAC